AGATGAAGGATTTCAGATTCTCCTACAAATTCAAAATGTCCTGTAAAGAGGACGTTTTGCGTCTGTGTCCAAATATCAAGAAAAAGTGAGTGTTTGTTAAAATACCCTATAAAAGCGCCACATTAATGGTCTAAACGGTCATTATTTCCTCTGTAAAGAACACTCACAGGGGCTTCTTTAAGTACATTTGATTTTCCCACTGCAGGGTGGACGTTGTCATCTGCCTGAGCACCACGGTGAGGAACGACACGCTGCAGGACGTTAGGGAGCAGCGGGTGTCTCTGAAGTGTCGTAAACAGCTGAGGGTGGAGGAGCTGGAGATGGTGAGGAACGGCTGTTTGTCATTTTAGATGAGATCAGATTTTTCGGAAAGATGACGTTCTCTGAAGAACTTTTTTTCCTGCTCTAAGTCGGAGGACATAAGGTTGGAGCCGGAGCTTTACGAGGCCTGTAGATCTGACATCAGTCGCTATTGTCCCAATGTCAACTTTGGAAATGCTCAGGTAAGAACCACAAGGAACAAAGCCCTGAATGTGTTCATCTAGAGCAGGGCTCTGAAAGTCAATCAGGTGAGGGGCCACATTTCAAACAGAGAAAAAAAGGCTGCAACCAGAAATGATACATTTCAACTGACCACAACACATATTGTTTTACTCAATAAAATAAATAAAAAATGTAATAAAACAAAATCAACCTTAAGCAAAATAACAATATTATAAAACAATTATTCACAATAACATGTGTTGTCTCATTTCCAAACTATATAAATCAAGTTGTCTTACCTGCGCACCTCCCCCTCCCCAACCTCAGATGATCGAGTGTCTGAAGGAGCAGAAGAAGCAGCTCAGTCCACGATGCCACCAGAAGATCTTCAGGCTGCAGGAGGGAGAGATGAACGACCCCGAGCTGGACTACCAGCTGATGAGAGTCTGTAAGCAGATGATCAAGGTGAAAAACATTAGAATAAATAATACAGAAATGCAAACAATAGTTGTGTTTCATTTGAATGGTCCTCAAAGCCGGTTTGACTATGAACGTACCTCCAAACACCCCTGCAGCGTTTCTGCCCCGAGGCCGACGCCCGGAACGTTCTTCAGTGTCTGAAACAGAACAAAAACAGTGAGCTGATGGATCCAAAGTGCAAACAGATGATTACAAAGAGGCAGATCACACAGAACACGGGTACTGTTGTCGACACACACCACGGTTATCATGAAATATTTCGTTTAATTTCATTTTAATCCTCCGTTTTAATCCTCCTCCAGATTACAGATTAAACCCAGTGCTGAGAAAAGCCTGTCGAGCTGACATCCCCAAGTTCTGTCAGTCCATCCTGCACAAGGCCAGTGAAGACAGTGAGCTGGAGGGTCAGGTCATCGCCTGCCTCAAACTCAAGTACGCCGACCAGGTCAGAGTCCAAACATGTAACAGAGAGTGAGAACTAATTAAATTAGAGCCGATGATGTGATGTACAGTAGACTGGTGCTGAAGGAAGTCAATGTCACTGTTGTTGTTGTTGTTGTTGTTGAACTGCGTTTGTCTGGGCCTCGGTGCAGAGGTTGTCTGCAGACTGTGAAGACCAGATCAGAGTGATTCTGCAGGAGTCAGCGCTGGACTACAGGCTGGACCCTCAGCTGCAGCTGCACTGCTCAGAAGAGGTATACACACACACACACACACACCTGCTCAATTTACGTGCTGTGGTTTCACTACCTACTCCTCCTCATCCTCCTCCCTCAGATCTCCAAGTTGTGTGTGGAGGAGGCAGCGGCTCAGGAGCAGACGGGTCAGGTGGAAGAGTGTCTGAAAGTCAACCTGCTGAAAGTCAAACAAGAGACGTGTAAAAAGGTGAGTGTTGTCCATTGTTAGTCATCATTAGTTCTACAGTATGTGTGAGCAGGTAGAACTCAGCTCCTCTTTTTCATCGTCCTCGCAGGAAGTCCTGAACATGCTGAAGGAGAGTAAGGCGGACATCTTTGTGGACCCGGTCCTTCACACAGCCTGCGCTCTGGACCTCAAACATCACTGTGCTGCCATCACACCGGGCAGAGGACGACGTGGGTTCTTTCACAGCTTTTTGTCATCATGACAGTGTTGACCCTTCTCAGCATTTTGAAGCATGTTTAAAATACAATGCTTGATGGGATTTGTAGTACGACTGAGACACTTCCTCAGTCCCTGAACAGGGTTCAATTGTGGGCTGGATTTGAACAACAGGCTTTGACTTTGACCTGATGTTTGTGTTGCTGATATGACAGTTTCATCTGTGCTTCACTGTAACCCTGAATGTTCTGCTCCCGTCTCTCCATTCAGAAATGGTCTGTTTGATGGAGGCGTTACAGGACAAGAGGATTCGTCTGCAGCCTGAGTGTAAGAAAAGACTTCAAGACCGCATCGACATGTGGAGCTATGCCGCAAAGGTAAAACATCTGCCGAAAAAAAGTTTCCTCCGGGGTTTTAAATACAGAAATATTTTTTTAAAAGTATTTTATATAAAATTTCTTGTAAGGGGAAATTTTACATGTTTCGCTTACAAACAAATTAAAATTCCTCAGAAAGAGCAGGAAATTTAAATACATTTATAACAATAAAAAAGACTAAACGTGAGAATTATAGTTATATATTATAGTTAGACAGGTGATTATTGGCTAGAAACCGACGTAACAGTCGCACTTATATGGAAAGTTGAGGATTTTAGATAAAAGTAGCACAATTGTACCCAGAAGTTAATTTACTTTACATCCAACCTATAGGTGGCGCCAGCAGAGGGCTTCTCCGACCTAGCAGTGCAGGTGATGACGTCACCATCCAAAAACTACATCCTGCTGATGATTGCTCTGAGTGTGTGCGTCCTCTTCCTGGTGGGGCTGCTGTGCGGTCGTTTCACTAAGAGAGTGACCAGAGAACTGAAGGACCGGTAGAAGACAAGGGTCTGAGAAGGCCTCAGAAAAAGACTAGGTTCATCGCGTCCTCTTCTTCTTCTTCTTCTACTTTCACTGATACTTTGTTTGCACAGCGCCAGCAGCCGTGCCATGTCTCGATCTTCTGGTTGGTTTTAAACCTGATGGCTGCTGCACCTTTGCATCAAATGCAAATATTTCTCCATCACTGAAGTAAATTCTCCGTCACCTTCTTCAACTCGAGGCATCACCAAACATCAATAGAGCCTGAGTGGTTTGAAGGAATATGCCGTTACCATGGACACAGTTCTTCTTTTTGGAGTATGTGCTCTTCATCTGGATCAGCTCCAGAATCTTTCTGGTTTTGACTCAATCCTTCTGATGTGACGATTGTTTTTTCGCCTCCTGATGCCGTTTCGGAGCATGTTAAAGATCATTCTTTCTTAAGAAACTGAAGCCACAACAAATCGCACATAGAAAAATCTGTGGCAAAACTTTAAGCTAACAAACACAATGTCCCTGCTGAGTCCACGTTTTCTCCCAGCAGTCATGAAGAAGTCCATTCTGCTCATGGTGTCCAGCGTCATTTAAAAACCTGTTTAATTTAAAACTGAATTAGGTGTCATTTCATTGCACTTTTTTTTAATGTGCGGCCTTATTTATTGTTTGTAGATTACATTTTTCAGTAACTGATTGGTAGAACATAAGGACTAAATGTATACTTTTTGTGTTTGTATTATAGCGCCCCCTCTGTCTTCTCTTCATCTTTCATTTTGTATGAACTACATCAGACTGGGCACTACACATATGTGTATATGTATATGTACATAGATGTACGTACTTATATATACATATGTGTATTTTTATATATGCGTGGGTATACATATAGGCAAAGCTAAGGTAACTGCTGGCTGTTCTGGTTGCAGCCAAGAACAGAGAGAAACTACCAATAGGAGGACAGACTTTTGATCAACAGTTATATCTGCAGAACATCATAAAACACTGAATGTTAATTATGCCGATGCATCAGAGAGATAGGAAAATCTTTTTTTTTTCTCTGACATTTGCTTACTTAAAATAATTTTCTAAAATTTCTAGGCATTTTTTGTTTTATTTTAATCAAATGTGTTGCACACTTGCACATTTTGCAAGTGTGAACATGTGAAACTCATGATGAACAACTGTTACTTCCAAAGTGATACATTTGCAAATTGACAGTTTCCAATAAAAAAGTGAATAGAATGAAATTAAACTTGAAGCTGAGCTGATGAAGCGGGAGTTGATCTTTAAGTGATCCACGGTCTCATAAGTGTTGGCCTTAGAGTGAAGACAACAATCCTTTCAGTTTTATATCAACATACTTTTTCAGTTTATATTTGACCATGTAATATGACAATGCAAATCAAGTGTTGTGCGATTTCATTTTGCCCTTTGAAAATTGAAGATTTAATAAAAAATGTCTGCCGATTTTTGTACTTCTGCCTCTGTTGTCAGGTAAAACTGTTGTATTTGTACACAAACACTTTTCCTTCAAACATTTTTTTTTAAACAGACTAATGTTGAATTTGTGGACAACTCTCTAAAACTCTAAACCCTTTCTGGAAACAGTGTTAGTTTTAATAAACTACCTATGAATTGACAACAAAATGCAAATAAAATAGTTTCAGGGCAGAAAGCACTTTATTGTTGCTTCCACTTTTTACAGTTTACTGTAAATTATTTTGTGAAAAAAGGAACAAAAATTAAAGAAAAAGCAGCAGCAGCGTTAATTTTCTCTAACATCCCTAATCATCTGGACACTCGTCTGTTTTATCTGAAGCCAAGGCAACTTAAAAAAATGTTTTAATATTGTCCACATCTAAAATGTGTGCTTTATGAGCAAGACAGAAAAAAAAAATGTAAAAAATTGAATGATTCAGATTGGACTCCCTGCTTGTCATTTAAATAAAGACTGTTCTAAGTTAATCAAGGAAGAGAAATCAGCGTGTTAATAATTTGACTTTAAAGAATTAAATTTAAAAATGTCAGCCTCTAAATGAGATCAACCACAAATCAGTATAAACAATAGAAAAGACGTTAGAAGGAAATAAAATGAATGGAGGAACAGAGGTCTTCTAAATAACCAAAGGTTATGAAACTAAACTATTATGAGTGAGTGAATGTGACAAAGTTCTGTCTGCAGAACCAAAGACCGAAGCTGTGAATGTTCCCGAGGATCTGCTGGTTTCTCCTGAGGTCAGGGTGGAAAGTCCTCAGCAGATCATTCTTCAGTCGGCACAGCAGTCACGCAGATTTTTTGGCCTCAAGGCACTGAGTTTGTTCTGTGATTCAAAGCAGCAGCAGCTGCCACAGCAGAGAGCAGGACACGGCGAAGAGACGAGAAAGAGTTGCTGCCCGCTAGAGGCAGTACTGAGGAACAGCTCCTCCAGAGGTTTAAAAAAAAAAAAAAAAGAAGTCCCGTTTTAAAATCAACCGCACCACTTTGCATCGTCTGTTGATTGTCTGAACTAAACCTCTTGGAAATTCCAAAGCTGTAGATATTGTAGATAACAATTGACGCTGCTTATCCTGTAGTATTTCTTGTTTTCTAACGTGGCATACAGATTAGGAACAGAAAGAGGAGGAAAATATAGATAAAAGAATTCCAGAAAAATAATTTTTAGTTGCTTTAAGAAAGAAAAAAACATTCAGACCAAGTGTCATTGGTCGAAATGAGATCTATAGTCTTCATAGGACAAAAGAAGTATTTCAGCGTTTTTCTCCGTCTCCACCCAGTAGAAGAACATCTCAAGGATTTGATAAATAGCATGTCTGGTCTTCACTTCAGCTTCATCCTGAAAATATCCTGAAGTAACGTTGGTGAGCAGAAGTCAAAATGTGGGGAATTCTTCTGCTCCACTTTCTTAAGAGCACCTCCTGGTGGTTGTTCTTCTTTATATGAATTCAAAATTAATTAATTAATTTTCCCAGGTTGGAAAACGAATGAACGAGGACTTTTCCACAAAATGTTTTTTCAAAAGTAAAACTCAAAACACTGCTGGAGACTCGTAGTTTCACCCACTACGAGCCTGACAGTGCAGGTTGTCGTCAGAACGATTGGCTGATTGAACCACAAGGGGGGTGGGGGCATCAGGAGGAGACGCTGTGGACGTAGTTAGCAGGATAGAGACCAACCTGTCCGCTGCTCAGTTGACCTTTACACCAGCCCTGTTCGTCCTCCGAACCCAACTTTAGCAGCTCCTCACCTGTAGGGGAGAGGGCGGTGGGTGAGTCAGGCTGAAGGAAGTAACAGCTTGAACAGCTGCTCCTACTAAATACAGAAGGTAAAAGGTGCTGGGGTTCAGATGGATAAACAAAAAGACCTTCATAAATTAACTGTTTTATATATATACTATAATAATGAGATGTCATATTATTCAAATAATATATTCTAATATTCAAGTCATCAATAACTAAACAACAACAATGGTATTTAGTACTCTCCTGTTTCTAAACAAAGATGGATAAATCATTGTTATTGAGTATATATTGAGGTTTATATATATATATATATATATACAGTATATACACAGTATATGATTTATAATGTGAACCATTATAAAAATCCAGCACTTCAGTCCCTTCTCAATAAAAATGAACCTGCTCCAGTCATTTCGAGGACTTTTCTCAGTGTTAAAGCAGCAAGTATAAAACTCTTGAAAAGTTTGACTACCAAACCTACCTTAGAAACAGCAGCGTCCAATCAGATTATTCAAACAGCAGACTTCAGTTCTTTTTCATGTAAAGGATTTTACATGTTCAATGCTGATAAACAAATTTTTTCTGATAATTTTAGGAAAAATTATCTTGAAAAATCTGCCACAGAAATAGGAAGGAACAAACTCAGACTTCTGTGGGTGTATGTGAAATGTGAGTAAAACTGGGTTTTCAACCAGGTTAATGTTTGATCACAGCTGATTGTTGGTTTTTACCTAATTGTTACCACTGTCAGTTCATGCAACACATTGTTTTTGTAAGTTTTCATTGTTTTTTTTTTTACAAACTCTGTTTGGCTGCATGAGCTCTGTACACACACACACACCCAAACACACACACGCCACACCAGTGCAGGTACAGAGTCATGATCCAGCTGAAGTCACACGGAAACCAGACAATTCACGGTTTTGTCTGACTCTGGAACCATTCAGAGAAAAACAAGCCTGAGGTGAATGACATGCAGAGACGAGCTGAGTGTAAAGGCCGAGTGTGTTTACACTGCGCTGCATGGTCAGAGTTCACCACTACTCAGGGAGGCATCGTCTCATGTCCACTGAGGCTCTGACCGCAGCTGAACTGATAACTTCACCTAAAGCATTTTGCAGTATTCCTCAAGTAGGTTTATCAACTATAATAGTATTTTCAGCATCAATGGCATTAACATTTTTATACATATATACTGACTTTATAGAAAAAGATAATAGATAATGCTAATGATAGTGCTAATGTCTGACTCAGTATCCATAAAATATGCAACCTGGGTTGGCCTTGGTGGCGCTGCTGAGACGCTTTCAGACCCTTTGTTTTTTTATATATATATTTGAGCACTTGTTTGAGCACTTGAGCTCATTTGTCAATATAATGTTCAAATGATTAGCAGCAAAATATGACAATAAATCGACCCCCACCCTTTCCTTCCCCCCAAACCTCAGATGCCTCCCATCTATGAGCATTAGTAAGGGTTAATACCTGCTTTAAAGCTGAGCTCATCAGCCTCCTGGCCAATGTAATCATACAGCGCTTTGACGGGCACGCCCACTACCTGATCCTCATCCTCCTCCACGTCTCCGACACCGTTCACCGCCAGTGCCTTCTTAGGAGTTTCCTCATCTGACCAGTCTGAGGAATAATCCTTTGTCCTGAGAAAAAAGGAGCGAGAGAGAGAGGTAGAGGGACAGAGAGAGAGAGGGTCACAACAATCAGACCAAAACAAACACAGAGCTGCTTTTAGTCACACATCTGACAAAAACTAACTTTAACTTTTTAGTTGCCAATTAAACTGTGTTAAACACAAGGTGTTGATCTTCAATATGAAATAGTTAAAAAGAAAACTACATACTAACTTGACACACACACTCACACGTATGTACAGTCGGTCGATTGTAGTAATGCAATTAAAAAAAAACACCCCTTTTGTCAAGTGATGTTTAATCCATGACAAAACTGTTCTCCAATAAAATACAGTAAAAACCAAACAAGCAGAGAGCTCTGATGAGAACTCGACCTCTTACCTGCTGGTCTCCATGGTGATGGGACTCGGTGGAACATTATCTTCACTCGAGGAGACGATGTTGGTGAGAGTGACCACGTTCTCCTCAGCGTGTCCTCCTC